TACTCTGAAAGACGCGAGAATTTGGACCAGTCTCGCCAGTCTCGAAAAGTCGTCTTTGTCCTTTATTTCCTTCTCGCCTTCTTGGTTCAAATCTTCTCCGAGAGGGTCGGGATTGTCAAGCTTATCGTAATGGTGTACCTAATCGTCCAGAGACAGCTGTCACTGGGAAACGAGCCACCAGGCAGACTGGGCCGAATTGGGTTGGGCTGGTCTGGTCTGGCGGCGGCGGTATTGCATTGAGCTCTGAAAGAAGAAGAAAGTGAGCCGAATCGGACTTTTATCGGCCGGGTGAGTCTCGTGGTCCGTTACAATGGCAGAAGCGGCCACCAACACCGTCCACAGGGTCGGCAGAGAAGAACAGACAAGCAAGCAGGCAACCAGGGTTCCCCGTAACGCAAGGCAATGTGGTAGGCCCGACTGGAGCGCGAATAGAGTGAAAGTGACAGCCGCAGGCAGTTAGATCGGGTCGTGTACGGTACACAATAGCCGTAGGGGACCAAGGTACTCTGAGCTTGTAAAGGTTGTGGCTGACGTGCTACTGAAGGGCGATATTCCGACAACCTAGTCGAGTTAGGCCGGAGAAGCGCGCGGCGGAAGAGCTGGCAGGCCGCAGAAAGAGTTTGCGGAGTAGTGTAAAGATATCCGGGAAATGGTCGGGAAACAGAATGGTGAGTAGAATCGGCCGGTGAGCAGATAAGTACTCGGTCGACAATTCCTGGTGAGTTCGGCGCAGGGCACCGAGAGCACCTATACCTAGGCCAGGTACCGGAAATGCAGCGATGAAGGGCGTAGCGGGAAGACAGGATGGATCGGTGGGGACGGCTCGCGGGTAGAGAGGGAGTCCAGGCCCAGTGTTGATCCGTGTGGTGTCCGTAAGAGGCAGTCTCAGGTCTGGGAGAGGTGCGGGAGACTGGGAATGCCAGCGGTCGATTGGATGGAGACGTGGCAGTGGTTCGTCTTCTCCGTCTGTCTCTGATGCGAGTGTCTCTCGGACCCTCGGTGAGGTGTGTTCAACAACCCCCCTCTGCTTCGTACCCTGCGCCCAGAAGGACAAGAGACACGGGGGAGCTGTTTTGAGTCGTTGATCGGATGCGTCGAGGTCAGGTCCAGTGACTCCCTGGGCCACCAATCACAATGCCGCCAGTCAAGCTGATCCGATGTGTCGGATGTGGCGCGATGGGAACAATATCCAGGTGCAGGCACTCCGTACAGGTGCAATCGAGTAGGTATCCGTAGAAGCCTAAGGTAGGCGGTATCTGCAGCCAGCAAAGTGCTGTGAGAGGCCCAAGGGATTAATAGTCGATGGTTGATGATTGATGGTTCATGGTTGTTGATGCATCCAGCAGAGGTGGGGCACGAAGCTGTGTTATTTTATTTCTTCCCCCTTGGGGCCCTGGACAGGTGGGACGTGTGTGGACTCTGATCCCACACACGAATGGAAATGGCCCAAGGACAAGTGGATTCTGGAACCAGACGTGCGTGCAGATGTGGGTTGGGGGAAGGAAGGACCCAAGGGGAGACAAGTACGACAACTCGACAAGGCAAGAAACACCCCGGTGCAGGTGCAGGTGCCAGCCGGGTACGGAGTAGGCCCTTCCTCCAAGAGTCCAAAGTCCACCTCAACCTGCCCTGAGCTCTTGCCGTCAATTTTGCAACACTACGGAGTACCTACCACATCATCTACCAATGCAGCAGGCACACTTCGTGATCAAACAAAGGTACCTTCCCTCCATGTCCACCCATCCGATTGGGTACGTAGCGCAGGTACTCAAGGTACTTAGGTATGACAGACTTTTGGGGATAAATCAATTTGACTCTAAAACTCTCAGAATTTGACAAGACAGTTGAGAATTTTGCCCTCCTCGAATACATTCTCTTCGGGCTTTGTCAATCGTGCCCGCCAAAGATCGGATCCGAACAGCAGTGTTAGGTTGGTGAATAGTTTAATAGACTCCCGTCGTCCGTCTCATCCCGTCTCGTCCTCTGGTCCTCAACCACACCATTTAGCCGTGCATCCCGGACCGCCACTCTAGGTACTTCAGGTACTCCTGTGTAAAGGAGGGGTTAGGGACGCAAAAAGACGGTTTGGCTTCAAGATGCGCGCAATAACATTTGTCCACTCGCAGCGCGGGGTGTCACCTCTATTGATTGACCCAGTACTTGAGACAGGGCATTCTTATATCCATCTACAGAGTGACTATGCACAGATGAGAAGGAGCAAAAATGGGTGCTGCACCCGGTCGGAAGTGAGAAATACAGATATATCGTATCCGTACTCCGAGAAAAAGATCCTGTCCGCTTTTCCTCCGCCGGCTCCATACAATGCGGATGCGCGATGCGATTGATACCGTCCGTACCTGCCTTACATACCGGTCAAGCCTCATATGGCATGCCGGCCTGTTGTTGGACATGGTATCTGTGTGTGCTGCCGCCTGCGGCCTGCGTGCATGGGCGACCCAAGACTAAGACACACAGATCCCGATCGAGCAAGCAGACAAGCAGGGTTCAGTGCGGTAGTTTAAGGCATCTAGAGTTGTAGATTTGGGGTCCCTACCTGAACTTATGACACCTGCGTTACGGAACCCGTCAACCTTCTCGCCATCATCATCTGCAGACTACACACATCATGGGAAATCTCAAGGGACGGATCACGGATCTATTGTGCTGTGCTTTCTTGGCATCCCAGTCCCCCCACACCGAATGGTCGGACTGGTACGGAGTAGAGCGTCACCTTCCGCCTCACTTTTCACTTTCAACTCTTCTTGGGCAAAAAGTCATGCCTGGAAGTAAGGTACCTACATCACCCACCAAGGTAAACAGACATGCCGCAAAAGACCAAACAAAGGTGCGGATAACATCATGGGACGTTTCCTTTCCGCCTTGAACGGCGCACGGTCACCTCGCTCAGGATTTTGACTTTTACAGTGCTTCCTATCGCGCCATTGATTCTCTTGCCTCATCTTTTGATTGAAACCTATAGTAGATAATGCCTTGCCATTATTGTTACTTGAGGAGACTTATACGAGAGTATTGATACACATGGGTGCCTTCTTCCCCAAAGTATCTCAACTGATGCAAGTATCTAGATAGACGTCCTCCATGCTCAGACAAAAGTAACAAAAGACAGCAACTGCCTCTACCGAGCAAAAGATTGGTTGCTGAAGCAGGAAAAGGCGTATCGGCACCTGCCATCTGAGTGACATTGGAAATAAGAAAAGCACGCACTAGTGCACCTGATTTCCTCATTTAACCCCTGTCGGAACTGTTTCCAGATGGGAAGCTGCGTCAGACTGGGGTTGTCATTGGTTCAACTGACTACGGTACGTACCGCTCCTCCCGCATCAGAAAGTGGAGAAGGAGCCGCCGCACCGGCTGCGCACCCTCCAAAACAAGGCTTCTCCTCCTTCAACCTTTTTTGGCGACATGCAACCTCGACGCTTGACGCCTGGATACTCGACGGGCAATTTTTTTTTTTGTCTTTCTCTTTCTCGTGCCCCGCACATCCGACCTTGCATCTAAACGGTAGAACAAAATGGGAATTGTCCAGGCCACCCTTTGCTCTTATCGTTCACCACAACAGCTTACCCGTAAGCATTCGTACTACTCTACGCCAACTTGGCTCAGGCTCAGGGTTTTAGCGGTCTCCGTACCTCTGATTGGTACTGTATCAATGCTGAATATACTACAGAAATCATACCTTTCTTGCCTTTCTGTCGACTTCGAATTCGATCAATGGATACAACCATGAACTCCGATTCAAATATTCGGCAGTCGTGCCTCTCTCGGAGAACGCTACGGCTCGATACGGAGTACAACCATACGGTATCTGACAAAAGAACTGTTCCGCTACGCATTCGCACATGACCCCTTCACTATCCAACTTGAAGCCACTCGGTGCGGACATTGCGCTTGCGCTTCTCGGCTACCTCAACCGCACAGTACCCAGTTCAGACACAAAGAATCAGCAGACGACCAGCCGACCTGAAAGCGAGCAATCCCATCAGTAAGCGAAGTCGTACTATCGCAGGAGTCACAGACCACTCAGATGACCCGTTGTTTCTCTCACAGTGAGCTGCACTTCACCTGTAGGGTGCCTTGCAATGTGGGCCGCTCTAGCTAAGATGCATTGCATAAAAAGTAGATTGGATACAGACACTAGGCCGCATCCAGAGTCTCAGACTCTCAGGTACCGACTTCCCATCTAATTCTGTGCAGCATGCAGTCGGGTCCATGTCTTGGATGTTGGGTGTTGGCACATCCCTGACAAGCTGCGAATCAAGCAACTACCCGTACGAAGTACGACTACGAATACCTACATCACCACTCTTTGCACCGGCTGTTCCGCGACCTGTGCACCGCATTTCCCTCTCCATCCACCTCACCTCCCGTCATCAAGAAGACGAATATTCGTACATCGCCGTTACCCTACCGCAGTCCTGATCAAAATTCGGTCGTTATCGTCAGGTCGTTTTGGACACTGACAGGTCCAATTCTCCCGAGGTCATCTTCCCGAGACACACTCTTCATACTTTTCTCCCAGTCGATCACAGATGACAAGGAGATGATGGTCAGTGCCAGAATCCAGCTTTTGGGGGGGCGGAAAACGCAAGCCGCGTCGGCAGCGCTCGCCGAATAGTACCGCTTCGACTACGAATACATACTCCTCACCTCTTGTTGCTGATGGATGAACCGCATCGCTCCTTCATTTGAGCCTGACAAATACAATCATCACGACACAAACACTTGCTCGAAAGACTTTGGCCTCGCTCCGGAAACGATCAGCGCCTGCCAACTCAGCGTAGCAAGAAATTCCCAGCAGCAATGGGGGTCAGCAAGGAAATCGATGGCAGAACTCGAAAGCTAACCACGGACAGAATGGGCAAAATGAGACTTGAGAAGACCAGTCTACTGGATGTTGGCAAAGTTTTCGGCGAACCATCCGAAAACCTTATCCTCCAGAAAGGTAGCCAGAGCGATCAACAGAGTCTTGGACTCTTCATACCTTTGCGGTTGGAGGGACTAGGGCTGGGACGAGGGCCAGGGCCAGGACAACGATGATGGCGAGCCCTTGGTCCAAGTGCAGATCTAACTCCAACGTTTGTTCGGGAAATCCCCAGATGTCAGGTGGCGACAATCATGGATTGGGCGAGGGGCATAGACAAGAAGACAGATGCCTTCCTTGCTGGGCTGCTGGGCGGGTGGGAGCCGTCATCGTCAGCCAGCCGGGGTCCTCGGATTATTGGGCGAACCACCCATCTATTTCCCTTGTTGTACAGCAGGCCCAGCGCTCTCTGCTCATTGTTTGCTTTTCCAACATCATCAGTTTTGCCGTCGTCCCAATTGCTTGATCTCATCTCAAGTCAGGCCTTATCGCAACCACTACAGATCTGGGCCTGGCGCTTCGATAAATCTTTCGCCGACCAAGCGTCTTTCTGTTGCCAACGGCCCCTTCCTCTCGCTGTCGAAGCTTTGAGGATATATCCGCAACGAAGCTTTCTCGTCACCCTTCAGGGTCATCTCCCAGTGGTTTTGGTAGGGTGGGCGGCCCAAGCTCTAGCTCTCGAGACAACCGGTGCCATCACAAGCCCCAAGCTTCCCGCGTTGCTTCTTTTTGAGGTCATAGGAAAACAGTGTCTCGCCCTTGCTCACTCTATTGGCCCATATCGATAATCGCACTTGAGCGAGATGAGCATACCGAAATCAAAACGATAACCAGCGTGAAATCTTCGAGCATACCCGCCATCACCACTGCCACTGCTTCACTTCCCAAGCGGTATTCATGATCGGTAGACAAATCCGGTTGAACAGTAGCCACGGCGATGGCATGCGTACGATGCCAGATGGACACCCGACTCTGACTTCTTCCGCCGTTGCGGCGTCTAACATCATTCCCGAACCGTATGTCCCCATATCAGCAGCGACATAGAAAGCTGTCGGTATTCCTGTAAGAAGAACAGGCGGTGCTCAATCGCGTCGCTTGTCTCGTCTGAAGGGCAAATACACATTAAATCAAACAAACGCCCCCTACATACTTGGCACTTGCACATCGCCACTCGAGATATTGAGAACAAGAAAGGACGCCTCTCGTTCCCTTCTAAGTTTGTCGGCCATTCTTCGAAACCCCTGCAGGGCGATGCTCCTATCTTGTGCTTGGTAAGGGAGCCCATGGCTGCTGGTACCCGTCTTCTGCTTCAACCTTGTGCCACCGCTCACTGGCCCAAGAGTAACCTTGTGGAATGCCAGGCTATTTTTGTGCCACCTTGGACTGCTCAGGCTTCAGCTGCAGGTTTTCTTCATCTTGAGCTGCAGCCCGTCAACCCCGGCATCTAAACAACCTCCCACGGCGCCACCGACATATCGTCTGGCTAGGCGAATTATGGAAGTGTCACCCTCACCGGCGATGTCATTCTGCCGCCCGTACATGCTCTCCTGATCGACGACACTTGCTCGGCGCATGGAGGATATGGCGTACCTAGCTTACACGCTAATACAACTATATACCTCTGCTGGTGGCAGACGATGTCGAATATCAAAAAGTTGCTTACAACCTCGCTCGCACTGTGTGGTACGTCGGCAGTCCAAGTTCGACCCCATACCGAAGTTGGTTTGGTTAGGCCTCCATCAAAGCACAATGGCGCATAATGGCAGCTCGTCTGATTCGCGAAGCATGTTACAAGAAGGATCGAAGGAGACCGAAATTGACAGCCAATTGTTCGATTTTGCCCAGGTCGAAGCTTTGACAGATATGTCACGGTCAACGTCACCGACAAGCAGATTCACTGCCTCGCCCCCATTTCAGTTCGGCGAGGGCTCGACGTAAACTCCGCAGGACTTTGTGTATCTCCGCAAACCTAGTTGATGACTGACCAGTTGGTCATTGGGTATTGATAGACACGGGAGAGTAAAAAACGAGGTACATTGCGCAGATTCAATATATGTCGTCGTAAGTCTCGTTACCGGCACCTTTGATATCTTCGGCCGCCGATCACCCAAGGACAAGAACGCACGTCTTCTCCGCTGGGCGGAAAACGCACGGGCTCCCATGGATCCTGTTCCACCCGGGATCACGGATAGAATCCGCTTGCCACTCGCTTCGAGTTGCTGGCATCCCCCCCTCCCTTTGTCTCTTTCAGACTTGCATTGAACGTTGGTACGGATACTCGCCCCGGTGATAACCCCCAATCTTCTAACCTACCCGCAGGTCGCAGCCTTCTGAAAGATGCTTTCTTGCGCTGGTCGCTCCATGTTTTACCGTTTCACATTTTGACGCCGGGATCACCTTTCCTGCGGGTGGCATGACGGATCTCGTCTGGCACCCGTCGACGATCCAGGACATCGACGAGGTCTGTGTGTCGTCTCAACGAAAAATGTAAAGATGAATAAACGACGGTGTCACGGTGTATTGCAATCGTCATTCGCGAATCTGTCTCCGGAGTATACTCCTGTAAGGCAGTCCGCGGAGTGCGCAGGCCCAAGCCAGCGACGATGCTTGGGCAACGAAAAATGCCACCCCATTCTTCTTCTACTCTCATAGGGCCAAGGCAGAGAGGAACAAAGTGTGCCACCCTTCACAAGCAAGACCACCGCGAAATCTCGAGGCTGCAGCAGACGAGACATTTGGCCGTTTCTTAGCCCTACGACTGGGCGGTATGCTTGTCCTCTCCTCCTCTGCAGCACCGGCACAGGGCGAGAGGGGACCCTTCCTGGCAGCTTGGCACGTCCCTGATGCTGGCAAACACTCGTTCGGTCTAGCGGGAACCATCTGAGAGAGATCTTGCTTCCCAAAAGAAAGTCCAGTCTAGAATAATCAAGGGACACCAAAGTAGCTTATACGCTTGAGCACAATTATGTAAGAAGCCATCTCGACTTGGGCATTAAATGCGCCTACCTGCGTGTGGCACCTGCTCACTGCACAGACCCTGGCTAAGTATCCGTATCAACGATTTTGGGTCCCCTCTGTCTTTGACAAGGCGGCGAACTACTGCATCGTGCTTCGAAAGCATTGACACGGGTTATCTGGTGGTCGACTGAAATCTATGGAACCTACAGCTAGATTTCTGCAAAGCTAATCATAGAGTCATTCATACCTCAGCATGGTGTACATCGACCTATCAAAGCTGCTAGGGGGTAGGAAGCCAAAGACCTAGTAATGGTGAAGTACGTTACGGCTCTAAAGGTCATGACAGGGTGTTAGTCGTTATCATGGAGCAGCGAACCATGAAACGAGATATCTTGTCACCAGAATTTTCCTTGGCCACTCCGTGCAACGGTAGAATTACAAATCTGCATGGGAGAGACGGAGTCGGTACCAGACCAGATTCAGGCTAGCTAGCCCCAGGCCCGGTTCCGGCCAGATTTGACCGAGTATCAAAACGGAAGACCCCACGGACAGTGTTACTTGGTAAGTTGCAAGGTGCCGAGCGAAAGCAAAGCTAATTAAGAGTGGTTTCCTGTAAATTTTCTTTATTATTGATGCGAATCGACAAACATTGACTCCGATTTCATGGTGGGCAGTCGATCCGCCCGCCCGTATGGGAGACAAAATAACTCGGGATATGCCATCAAACACAAGAAATAACTCTCGGCTCTGGAGAAGCCAACTCAACCAAACCCCCCTTTTGCCGAGCGGCCCAATCATTCTCCATCGCACGGGAGACCCTTCGTGCTCGTACGCGGCAAAGCCCGGGAAAAGCGGGCAGATTTACGAGGACCTCGCTCGACCCGATCCGGGAATTCGAAAGCGAGACGCTCCGGCCCTCGGGGTCTTGTACCGGTCCGGTAGCAAGGACCGAGAGAAAAAAAAACCCAAATAGGAAGAAGAACGAAATCGGTGTTCTAAGTGCTAGGTAGCGGAAATTTCTACATTAGGAAAGGTTGTTGGAAATTATCGACAGTCGCATCCCGATGCCTCTTTAATACAGAAGCAGGCTCTTTGCTGAACCCCTCTCGGTCTACTCGGTCCATCGATGCGACGACTATTACTTATTCTTGGGCGGCGGCAGCGGCAGCGGCAGGTTTCCACATCAGTTGTCGGAGACGGTCTTTCTCGGCCTCGTCTGCAAAGATGGTTTCTATGCCCCGTCGGGCCAGCGCGCAAATTTCGTCCCGGGAGAACTTGAAGTGCTCCGCTACGAGCCTGTACTCGTTGGACAACGGGCTGCCAAAGACGCCAACGTCGTCGGTCTGTTTTTGAGTATGAAAGTCAGCTGAGGTACAATCTTTGAGTAGACGAGCTTTCGCGAAGAGATGTTGAGAAAAGGGGGAAGGGAGGTTCTTTCGCGTAAAAAGGAGGAACGCACGCCTAAAGAAATCAAGCTCCCCTCCACGCCCCACCACTCCCCGAAATGATGGCCCTCGAACCCGCCCGTCACCATGCCCGCGTGGACGTTGCAGCTGAGACACAGCTCGAGTCCGATGCCGCGCTTGGTGATTTCCCGCTTCACGTCCTCGCCGAGGTGGATGACGTGACCCAGCCGCCGCGGCGACCACGACAGGATCTCGGCGAGTTCGGCCGGGTGGCCGGAGCACTCTGCCTCGCCAAAGTGGATTGTGATGCCGAGGCCGAGGGTGCGGGCTTCGGCGAAGGCGTGGCGGAAGATAGAGATGGTTTCGGGGTTTGAGTTGTCGTTGTCCTGCTGGCCTGTGTGGTGAATGCGTGCGGCCGGGTCGCCGCAGAGGTCTACGCCGACGACGCCTCTGTCGCGGAAGGAGGCTGCGAGGCGGACTGTTTCGTGGGCTTGCGCGGGGGTGTGGCGGCGGTCGACGGAGAGGATGAGGCGGGTGCGCATGCCGCCGGGGTGAGAGGCCTCGAAGGCGTCTATCGCGGAGAGGATGGTTGCGACGTAGACTGACGGCGGCTGGGGGGTAGGTGAGGGTAAGGAGCGCGGGGTGGTGCGGAGTTCGAGGTAGGTGACGCCGTCTGCGTGGAAATCCTGGAGGACGGAGAGGGTTGCTTTGCGGAGGGTGTCGATGTCGGTGATGAGGTTGTAGATGTACGATGAGAAGAGGGGGAAGAAGCTGTGTGTGGTGTGTTAGCGAACCCTGGCTTACTAGGCTAGGTGAAGTGAGGTGAGATTTTACGTGGTGAGGTCGTAGTCGTGTTTGCCGTCAGGCATCACGACGAGGGGGTCCTCGAGGTCCGTTTCGCCTGCCTCGTGCTTGAGGAGCCAGATGTCGTGGAGGGTGCGGCGGCTTATGCTGCCTGTCAAGTGGGCGTGGAGCTGTGGTTTTGTCAGATGAGGTGTTCGTAAGGTGGTCAGGGGCTCATACCTCAAGGGGCTTCTTGAGTCATACCTCGATTTTAGGGAGAGCTACAAAATCCATGTCTATTGTTGGTTGAGAACCCATCTTGTCTGAATGTTCACGTCTTTCTTCCTTCGAAAATGTCAGGGCTGATGAGATTGTTGCGAGTTGGGTGTTGGTGAGAATTCCCACCTTCTTTTCAGTTGTCAAAAGTAGAGCCGTCGATACTTCCTCACCCCTCTTGTTCCTGAAATCTGCGCGGGCGAGCGAATTGGATCCAAACTAGAAGTAGAAAAGAGGTGGTTGGGAAGGTGATGGCGGGGAAGTTCCTGAGCAACGTTACCGTTTGAAGGCAACTAGAGTGGTTTGTAGAAAGGGTGTGTGTGTGTGTGTGTGTGTGTAACGAGACTACACTGCTGTGTTTGGGAAAAAGGATGAGGCGTTTTGCGGTGCAGTATGCAATCCAGGTTTCCCGACGCAGGTTCCGAGTCGGACCGGGCCGACGGTGCCGATCCCGGAGTTTGGTCCCCATAATTTCTGCGCTCCGTGGAGTGAGACATTCCCGGCGATCGCCGGAAGACTTGCTTTGTTTGACTCGGGTCACCTTGTAGATTGTTATTTGCCAGTTTCATAGATTTTACGATTTTTTTCTCCTTCTTCTATTTCATTTTCGTCTACCTCCCGCTCTGTTTCTCTACCTCTGCTTTCTTCACTTTACCTAACCTTCAGTTCAGTGGAATATTGCCATATTTCCGAATCGTTAACGCCGCATTGCAAGTATGCCCTTGAAGTAGATGACGCACACTGACTCACACTGACTCTTTCACAGTCCAAGATTCCTCTCTTGGCTGGATATCTATCCAAGGTGACATGCCTTGATTAGAATCAAGCAGAGTGCAGTCAGTGAACGCGAAGCTCGGGGAGATGAACCTGATCTGTGCAGTAGGCAAAAGCCACCATATAGACAGACCACTTCCCTTGCAATATGTGTGTCTACTACATGGTAGTTTTTTATGGCCAATCGTATACAGGTAGGCCTCGTGTCCACTTTAATGCTCTGTTGGTGCCTGTTCACCGTGGAATCAAGCTCTTTGGCTTCTCTTTGCCACATGGCTCTATCGGAAGTTGAGTACACATGTCTCCCTATTTTTAACACACTAATTAAGTCTCAAGTATGATACCTTATGAAAGTATTTTCAAACATCTAAACCACCTTCGCGATGATTCATATCCACGCAAGACCTCGATTCTATATGTTCCGCGGTATGAAAACCTCCAAACTCCAGTGGCAATGCAAAGTACATCTTTCATATACTATACTCGAGTTGCAGTGTCTCTTCCACACGACCACACTATTCGCATATGCACACGATCCCAGTGTCTCCTATCTCCCTCCCCTGAATTCTCCGTACTTCGCTCACTCCTGCTTACGCCTAATCCTCGGCAGCAACTTCGTCGCCGCAACAACGACAGCAGGGAAAAACGGACCCAAAAAGAACCCCTGGAGCACAACCGCCACCGCAGAGACGTAGAAATGCGGCACGAGCCAAAACACAAGCTCGAGCGCCATGGCGATGGGGATGTAAATCGACACGGCGAGCTTGACGCCCAGTTTGGACGTGACGAAGCCGAGGACCGCGCGGCCGAGGGTGATGCCGAGCCAGAAGCCGACCGAGGTCATGCCCGAGTCAAAGTTGTTGGCCTTGCGGACCTGGATCATGAACTGCACGATCCAGCCGCCGAGAGAGACCTCTGTGCCGATGTAGGCGAGGAGGAAGAGGGCGCAGAACCAGGAGACGCGGGCGTAGGGGCGTTTGAAGAGGGCGGTGCGGAGGCCGCCTCCGGGGGTGTCGCTGCGGGAGTGGTTTACCAGCTCGCGGTATACTTCGCCGGTTTGCGTCCAGAAGGCTGCTGTGCACCATACGAGCTCGATGCAGGCCAGGCCGAGCTGAGAAGGTGGTGTGGAGTCAGATCGTGTCATACACACACACACACACACTCTCTCTCTCTCTCTCTCTCTCTCTCTCTCTCTCTCTCTCTCTCTCTCTCTCTCATAGCCTCGGGGAAGGGAAAAGAGGAGGGCATGATACTCACCATGAGGTAGTAAAAGTTCCACCAACCCAAATTGGCCTTGTTAATCATGGTCGTGGCAATCAAAGGGGCAATCACGCCGCCGACGCCATACGACGCGTGCAAGAACCCGAGGACCTCGTTCGCCCTGGCCATGTTGCCAATGTACGCGTTCCACCCGGCGTCGCTGAGGCCGTTACCGAAGCCGGCGATGACGAAGGCGGCAACCAGCGCCGGGTAGGGCGGGTGCTGGGATATGATGATGTAGGCGACAATGTGGCACGCGGAGGCGATGACGGCAATGCCGCGCTGGCCGAGCTTCAGGTGGACGTAGTTGTTGAGGACGGCCGAGAGGACGTAGCCGATGAAGGGGGAGAGGAAGACGAGGGAGACGACGACGTAGGTGAGGTCGTAGTAGATTTCCAGCTGTTGAGAGGGGCGTGTGAGCCGGAGATTGTGGTAAGCTTGGACGGGAGGGACGTACGTAGGGAATTAAAGCCTGGTCTGAAGTCAGTCGCTGTACAAGTTTGAAGTTTGAACAGAGTATGGGAGAGGAACTTACACCGTAGGCGGCATCATTCGCCCCAGAGACGAGGAGACTCCAGAAACAAGACAAGACTCTGAAGAGATTCGACCTCGGGTGGTTCCATTTCTGCACAACTGCGGCTGTCATCGTCGGGGCAGGAAGACCTCCCGTCGCATCTTCATTCGATCCCAATAGATGGCCTTCGGTATTTAGAAGGCTGCCTTCTTTCGAGGTCGATTCCTGGACCGGAGGGCTTTGTCGGACCGTCACCGTTGTCGACTGTGCAGTCATATCGTATCTTGTAGCAACCGCTCGTCTATCTTCCGCCAGATCCTAAGTAGCTTGTCGGGTCGAATTTGATCAATACTGTCGATTGGGATTATTCAAGGGTCGTGTGTTCCGAACTTGGTATTAATTGTGCTCCAAACCGTATTCCAGGTAAATGGGAAGCAACTCCAAAGACTCCAAATTTATTCAAAGCCAAGTATAACGAATTGGGTATCCTAGTCCTAGACGGAATATGTAATACGGTAATGCTTGCAAGGGCGATGTGGGACGATCTTGAGCAGCTCTTTCCAGACACACAGATATCTATTCCCTTGCGTCACTAGACGTGTGTATTTGTACTAGGGCTGGCTCGGCAGCTATCGAGTATGTACTGGGACTGGAATATCACGTCTTCCCGGAGAACATTTCGCGGCCAGAGTCAACTACCTTACCTACAACAAGCTGATGTGACTCTGAGCATGCCCCAGAGGAGACACCAGCTCCTGTCTCGCCATGCCGGGTGAACAATCATCAGCCCAGACACTGGGCAACGGCGGGAGGCCCGAAGAACCGGGGCGCGCGATGGACCGTTGATCAACCCAGATCGAGAGCTGGCTGGCTGGGATTTGTTCGGTGAAGTGGTCCCGAGGAGACGGGAGCGGGTCCGGTCCTTGGTATAAGTGGAACCTTGAACTTGAAGTGCTTCCTGATCCGGAAAGATTGCCAACTCCCGCTAATGCTAGCCTTATTTAGACGGCGTTAGAGGAAGCAGGTGTGTCACGAGGTGATGAGGAGGTCTGAATATGAATTCCGTGATGTGCTTAGCTTGGCTAGACCATTTTGACGAGCTGACTCGGCCTCTTTTCATGGTGGCCATTTTCTGTGTTGCTTTTTTGTTTACCTATTACTTTTGGGCGTTTACGGGAGAGGAGGCCGAGTCTCATACATTCTTTTCGTTATTGTGAGCAAAGTACTGTCGACTGTGTTTCTGAGGGATGAGATTTGCACCGCAGAAACTCGGGGGAATAAATGAATATCTTTCTTACTCCTTATATATATAACCATGCTCGACCTTGTCTATCGAATTATTTTTCCTTTCAAAGCGGGCGTATAACAATAGTAAAGTAGAACCGAGAAGTAAGTGAGTGAGAAGACATTTCGGATCTAGTGCAAGAGGCCTTCTGCAAGGCGGTAAGCTGGAATCGAAGTCAGAACCTTCCAAAAACCAACGGGGGTCGAGGCCCTTTGTATGTCATTGCAAGTGATCAGTCGCAACTACTGTGTCAGGTGTCTCCTCATCTGATGGTGACAGGATAAACAAACAATCGAACCATAGACCATAACCAGGAAGTGAATGGTCCACGGTCAGATAAAAGGGTCGATACGCGGCAAGGACGAAGACGTCACGGGCTTCTCCCCGAAGCCCGTCTCGATGCCACATGTCAACCGATCTTTTCGGTTTGATCTTATCGTCACTCAGAGCTTGCAATGATGACGACCGGAACAACAACAAGACAATGTACAAACTTGCTAGGCGACATCGCATTTCGGCTTTTCGCCTGCGCCTAGCCAAGTTTATCGTCCCTTGGCCAGCGAGGTTCCCTTCAAATCCTCGCGACTATCCGTCCGAAAGCAGAGTGTTGTATTATGCCTCGGCAGCCCCACCTCTTAAAAGACCGTAGATACCTTCAGGGTAGCCCGGACAAGCTCGGCCATGCAGGTGAGAGAATGGAGTCCTAGACCATCCTCCCGGCTCCGACATCACCCGCAACCATGCATTCCCAGCACTTCGGAAACTTCGTGCAGCTTCGGCTCGTCCCGCCGCTTAATCGAACACACTTTAACTGATCTGCGGAGCTGTCTGTATACCAGTATCCGTACGGATGGATACCTACTTACAGCAAATCACATGCAACAAGCTACCCCCGCGTCCATGATGTTGTTGTATGTGTGTCTAATCGTAACATTTCCTCATTATTCAACTCACGCGTTCGAGCGTAGGATGGTCCCGAGGGGCCCTCGGTAGGGGTTTTTTTTTTTTTTTTTTTTTTTAAACATTGTACAGGTGTTATTGGCAGAAAAATCGGACAAACTCCTACAGGGTAGTCGTGTGTGCGTTTGGTTTTTCCCCTTTCTGAGGGGATTTGATCGTGTGTCCAGTTCTACCCAGTCTATCGTTTCCCCGCCCAGCCATTAAAGCCGATCGATTCTATCGTTTCGCTCTCAAGACACCATAATAACAACAAAAAAAGGTGAACGGAAAGAAAAGGTTACGGGACACGAAAGGAAAATAACAAAGAAGTGTAAAGTTATCCCAGCGCCAGAGGCAAGGAAAATGATTCATGAACGCCTAGAATAAACCACCCAGGCCTATTCTCTTGAGATGTCGCGACCGAAGACCTTGGACTTGAGCCAGTCGTTCACGACGAGGAGACGGTTGCGAGCTAAGGTCAATGGTATTAGCATGTGATTATACTCGGCAAAAGGTGTGAGTGATGTAAAACTTACTGCTGAAGCACATGGAAAGGTAAGCACTGCGCCAGAAGAAGTACGTCATGGTACCACCACTGGCAATGTTTCCGTTCCACCAGGCAACGTCTGCGACAGCCTTCTCACTGCCAATGTAGGCCAAGCTGCCCTGGTGAGAGTAGTGGAAGGGCTTGATGTCCTTGATGCGGCGGAGCTGGCGCTCGTGGGCCTCAATCTCCTTGGCGACCTCGGCAGCGTTGCCGGGCTTCAAGTTGAGGTTGGCGCTAAGCTCCTGGACGCGCTCCTCGAGGGTCTCGGTTCTGGCCATGTTGTTGAAGAGTCTAGCAAGGAAGTTACCCTCCTGCGCAGCGACCTGGGCAGTCGGGGCGTATCCGGCCACGGCGCAGTCGCCAATGGCCCAGATGTCACGGGTGCCCTGAACAACGAGGTACTCGTTGACGGCCAGACCGCGGCGGGAGTCCTTCTGGGCGGGGATCTTGGTGATGAGGTCGCGGATGATGGGGCGGACAGCGTTACCAGTAGCCCAGACGAGAAGACCGTAGGGGATGGTGAGGGTCTGCTTCTTTCCGTCGGGGCCGGTACCCTCGGCCTGAACGTAGGTGTCGGTGACCTTCTTGACCATGGTCTTGGTCAAGATGTCAATCTTCTCCTCCTCGAATGTCTTCTCGGTATACTCAATCAGCTGCTTGGAGAAAGAGGGCAAAACGTTGGGGAGAGCCTCGATCAGGGTGACCTTGAAGCGGTCGGCAATCTCAGGGACCAGACGCTTGATGTCCTGCTCGAAGAAGTCCTGCAGCTCACCGGCGAACTCGACACCAGTCGGGCCACCACCAACGACAACCATGTGCATGAGACGGCTGACATCCTCGGCAGACTGGTCCTTGAAGGCGGCGGTCTCGACGCAGTCCATGATCTTCTTGCGGATAGCCTGGGCGTCGTTGATCTCCTTCAGGAAGCAGGAGTTCTCGCGCACACCCGGGATGCCGAAGGTGGCGTTCTCAGCTCCGACACCGACAACCAGCAGGTCGTAGGCGACCTCAGTCTCGGATGTGGTACCCTTAATCTCCGACGTATCCAGGATCTTGACAACCTTCCTCTCGGGATCGACGGAGCTGGCCTCGGCTTCGTAGAACTTGACGGCGGCCTTCTTGTGACGGAGGATGGTTCGGATGGGCTCCATGATGGAGCGGTGCTCAATGGTGCCGGTGGTGCAGGAAGGCAGAAGAGGGGTGAAGAGGAAGTAGTTTCTAGGCGAGATGACGACGACATTGTAGTTTTCCGTGTCGAGCTTCTTCAAGAGAGAGACGGATCCCCAGCCAGTGCCTGTTGCAACTTGTCAGTATGCGATATGTGCAATGCGTACGGCGCGCCGTCGAGAGTAGGAAACTTACCGAGAATAACCAGCGTCTTCTTGGTGGGGTCCAGCTCAACCTGATCCTCGGGGTGCCTGTCATCGTAGACAACATATCCAATGTAGCCGAAGAGACCCAGGGCAGAGAGGTAGGTCAAGCGCCAGGCCCATCTGAAGGTCTTGCGGACCTTGCCAGCTTTCTTGGGAGCGACATCGGCGTAGTTTCTGGTAAGCTGGCGCGCAACGGTTCCGACCTGGGGAAGAGCGGCGACTCTCGGCCTCGCGGTGAGGGTTCTGACGGACTGTCTGGAAGTGGTGGTGAGGGTTCTGCGACCGGCATTGGCAGCGCGCGGAGCTCTCGGGACCAGCTGCTGAGCTGCGCGAAGGGAGCTCATGGCTCTGACGGACGAAGCCATTGCTTCAATTGGTGATGGAGAGGAAGGTCCCCGGTGACCAAATATGGTTCTTGATGGCGAGGCGAGAGGATGCGACACTTGGTTGAGGGAAGGGAAAAGGAAAGAAAAACGAAGGAAATCGGAGGAGGAAGGAAATTCGGAGACGATAAGGATGTTGGTGGACTAGAATTGGGGGTGGGAATCGATGCTGGAGGTGTGTGACGCAGCAAACGAAGAGAGAGATTTGCAGGCTGGCGACTGGACCCTCCCAACATGGCGGTATTTTTTGGCAGCTTGCAGAAAATTTTAGGTGCTACGGGGGTGAGAACGTGAGGTCAGAGATAGCGCGCTCCGCCCGCGGCGCCGCCAGCGAAAAGATGGAAGCTTGGACGGGGAAGAGGACGTGTGATTGGGTGGGCTGTTTGCGGCAATCCAGTGACCGACCGCGAGAGCGATGTTGCTGCCGACATCTACCTAAGGTACCTAAGGTAGGTAAGATGTCTCGGCCGCCTCGGGACTGCCTTAGGTGCCTTAGTAGCTGCTTACCTGGCACATTCAGACTTCCCTTGCACTTGATTACTAGGGATATTAGGCGTGCTGGGCATACAGGGGATTCACTGAGGGTCCTTCTCTACCTTACTCCGTATCGTGGTCCGCGCAGCCGCAATCTGCTCCCAATGGAGCGCTTGTTTTTGCCCTATCAATGTTTGGTCATCGTCCAACTTGGGGGTTAATATGGCCCATTTCGAGGTGGGCTTGGGTGGGATTCGGGGTGTCTCTTGCCCTTTTTCCCTCGTTGCTTTTGTATCTTTATTTTGTGTTTGCTCGTCTTGGTTGGTCTCTCTGAATTTTTTTTTCTCTTTGCGCGGCGCCTTGTCCGCCGGCGGCCTTGATCCAAAGAAGAAGCCCCGGCCACGCCCCGGCCGAACCCCGGCGTTTTGTCATTGAGTTCTCCTTCCGCACCAGGGCACTTTCGGTCCGTCGCACCTTCACCATCTGCGCCTGGCTGATGTCGCGATAGTAACCCGGACCAGGATGACTCAGGGCAAGTCTCCATCGCGCGCTCTTTTTTTCGTGGCTTTCTTACCCGCTGTCGGGCATCGCGCCCAATCATGACTTCATCTTACACACATCCCTCACTAATATCTCGCAACTTCAACTGGGCTTGACCCCCCGACTCCACTTCCCCGTCCACCCTTACCAGCCACCTCCGCTGCGCCATATCGATCGTCTATCCCTCCAAATTGTTTTCATGAGGCTCGTGAAGCCTGTCTAGCACATGCCAATGTAAATGGCATCAACTCTCCTTTCCCCCGAGAAACACAAAGCTTGTGAGCTGTCATGCTCCGGAACTTTCCTCTATCTCTCGGAATCCATAGGACCTTGAGCCAAGATTGTCATACGCCCATGTCATGCCCCGAAAAATGACCACTAGTACCCGCAAGCTCCAAATGCCGTTTCTCCGAAGGCCCCCGAGCTAGAGCACGTCTTATCTCGGACTTGGGGAGTTCATGGGTCTGATTTTTAGCGTTACTATGTGTGGCATGGAGTCGTTCTGCCCGAAATTGTTCCCCATACCCGACCACTTCCCGAGCCCCGAATCTGCACTCCATCCGGCCGAACGTCCCGGCCAGTCCCTCTCCCTTTACCCCAGTCCGGGCCCTCGTCTCGAGGCCACGGCCACCGTCTCCCGGAACCATCAAGGTGCCCGTGCGGCCCGGTGTCTCCACAATTTCCCTTCTCTCCGAAACTGTCGGACTTAGGAATCCTAGATGACTGGCAGGAAGGCACGCGACGAGGATCGTTTCTTTCCTTAAATGCATCGGGCCCCGAACACTTTCGTTGCGGCCGGTCGCCCTCCGAAGTCTCCCTTCTTTCCTTCCTCTACATCCCGTGAAGGTCGCCGGGAATTTCCGCCATTGGTTCTCTCTCTCTCTCTCTCTCGCAACCAACCAAGCATGTGGTGGCTACTAACAAGTTGATGCCGTTGTCGCCTCGGCCAATGACAGCCCTGCAGTCACCATCGCCTCGGCTCCTGTCATCACTCACTTCACTTCATCCTGTCGCTCATCTGCTCTTCTGACATCCAACCTGACACCTCCAGGCCGCACATGGCCTACGACGCACTCGTGCGTCTTTCAAGCACGTTGTGATACACGAGAAATGTGCTCTCGCAGCTAGCGTTAACTCGCGTCCCCACAGCTATCATCCAGAGATGGGATTACAATCTCAGCACATGCTCGAAATGATGACCGAGGAGAAGGGTCCCCAAGCGGCTCATCGGCAACATGTGCAGATAGGAAAAGTTTCCTTTTTGCTACCCTTGAGCCAAGCCCTCTTCTATACGAACCGTAGCCTTGGGGGGAGGAAGGGGAGGGAATTAGGATCGAGCGGGTAGAAGCTAGTGTGTCGGCACTCTGGATTGCGCGCGCGGAAACGAAACGGGGTCGGTCTTGCAAAACCCCCCATTTTCGGCCAGCAGCACATTTAACTCTCGATGCCCGGGCCCGAGAGATGCTGAAACGCCGCAAACCCAATCCGCCAACAGCAGGTGAAGGGAGAAAAAAGAGGAGGCGCCGATGGGATGGGATGGGATGGGTGGTCAACTGGCGTTGGTGGATACTGAAGCGGCCGGCCAACGTGAAACAGGGTTCGTGTCTGACTTACAAGCTCACACAGGAGAATGTGGGCCAAGACCTCCCCAGAGACTGAGAGAAATCAGAGGCATCTCTCTCTCAAACCCGACGCAGACGGAGCACCACCACTACCACTGCACCAGCAACCGCCTGGTTTGACAACAACCGTGATCGGATTTTGATACGGGCGGCAAGGCTGGGTGTGCAGTGGTGCAGCATCATGCGATTTCCCACTCACCGCGTAGTCGCTTGCGTGCCGTTTATCCTCGCGAAGCTTACGCAAACCCGGGCTCCATCGTTCAAGTTTCCCAACCCACGATAATGTCCGTCGGACAGCGGTCATGACGCGAAGCCTCCCTCGCCCTTCAGGCTTCAGCTGTCCCGTCTGACAGGCGCTTAAGCGCATGACATGGACCCAGTGGCGGCGGCGAGCTGAACTCCGCTGCGTTATGCCGGCAGATGGGAAAAAGAGGGCGCCCATTGTCCACATCGAGGATGGACCACAAGAACCCGCACCGTCGAGGTCTCGACTGAGTCGACTGAGTAACTCCTCGACCATCGAGAGCCCACTTCGTTCCGTCGATGGTGAGCGAAGCTAGCTCGTCAAGTTGAATGGCAATGGGGCCCCGTCATCCATTCCCCCAAGCGGACGGGTTCGAAACGGCCGGCAGGTTGAGTTACAGTACGCCAGTACGTAGAAAGTCCAGAACCCTCGCCTCGCAACATACTTCCCACCCATTTCGCCAATCTTGCAGGTGAGGTGGTAAGAACAAAAAAGCCAAGTCGAGAGCCTCGGGTGCATCCATGCACATCCATCGTAAGTCGGGCAGCACACCCGCAGTTTCTTGGTAGATGATCGTGAAGCTTGGCAGGCGAGACATCATGGTAGCCAAGCCGCGGAGGATTTGTCAAGCGAACGTTTGATCCCGGCAACTCATGGGCATGTCTCTTTCTTATTGCCCAGGAACAAATGTGTTTTGATCCCTCTACTGGTTTCTCTGGGCAAAAGTCCGAGTACATTAATTTCAATTTATTGTGAGGGAAGTCTTGGTACAGCCAAGGTTTCCCGCAGCTTTTGACTTGTGAAGCAAAGCACGGTTGTTGTACGGCATGTATAATAGAATATCAATCTGCCAAGCCTCCGCCTTGGGCTTCTCTCGTATGCAGGCGCAGGCGCAGGCGCAAGCTTCTGGTGAAAGAGCGCTTAGAGAAATCACTTAAGCCTGCGAATAATGAGACTCAGGCACCTCAAGAAATCGTACTACCTTTTGTAGTAAGTCACGGGAATCTGTCTGAAGGCTAGAGTCTACAGACGAGGGGGGAACCTTCTTTTGTTGCATGCCGAGAAGCTCGCGTTGAGCGGAACTTTCATCTTCCAAAACACCAGCGGCTATGACGACCAAGCAAACTCGCACGATCAAGCTTCTCGTTATCTTTGTACAGATCCAATCAGCAGGCTCAGCAGAGCAGAAGGCAGACAGAGGAGGATGAATTTTGGCTCAGATCGTCGCCCCCCGGTAGCCAAGTTTCCAGATGCCAAGATGGCCAAGATGGGAGCTTAATTGCGCTGTTGGGTATTTCTGTGACAAGTCTTGCGAAGGTTGTTGCAGAATTGTGAGTGGTGCAAGGCAAAGGTAACGAAGTAACGAAAGAGAGAGGCACAGAGGAAGAAAAGAGTTGAGATGAAAAAACTTCGAGGCAAGTAGCAACACGGGGCGACGAGGGGGGTCCTGGAGACGGTGGGAACCGGCTCGTCACGGCAAAAAAGGGCGCAGCAACGACAGGTTTACGGTAAGGTGTGAGGACGGAAGAGGTGTGTGTGTGTGTGTGTGTGTGTGTTTGTGTGTGACGAGGGGAGGGAAGTTTAGGTTTCGAGGGATCGGCCGTGCGGCCGTGAGATGAGGCTATAGCATGGTCCCGGGACCAATAGCAAAGTGCCTGGCTTAAGAATATTGAATTGGGGCAGAAAAAGAGCGGCGAGTCACTAACAGAGTTGCACGCTAGTAACTCTTGTTCAGGGGCAGCGCGAACGAACGAGGCGAGCGGTAACCTTACACAGTAGTTTATTGACTCGCAGAGGAGAGATAGCCTCACGAGAGGAAGGAATGTTGAAAGCAACTGATTGAAGCGGGGGAAATAATTATCAATATGAGAATTTTGTGAGGCTCTTGGATTCTTGGAAAACAGTTGGCTTGTTTGATAGCTTTCCGTTTACTCCCCCTTACAGATTTCATTGGTAAAGAAGCCCAAACTAGTTCGCTGGGCGTTTTGCCCAGAGAAATGCGTTTCCGTTAGCCAGATCTGGCAGGTGAGGGAACGACAAGGGGGGGTCCCAAGCCAATATCAGTAGTGCGATATCCGTATTGTGGCAGCCCTTTCTTCCATGCAAGCTGAGGAAAGCATGAACCACCGGCAACGAAGCAGGTAGAGCCTCATCGATGATCCTGGGCAAGAGCTTGTGCGAGGTGAACGCCACTTCTGGATGGAGGATCGCGCGGTTCAACGGCTAAGTCTCAGGGTTTTCTTTCTTTCTCAGGGTTCTTTGGTCAGTAGACTTCCGTCACTTTTCTGAAGGGAAGGGTGCCATAGAGAGAGGGGTTGAGGGGAACAACGTAAAGTCTTTTTTCAAACAAGACTTTTGACGATGATGCAAACTGTCGAACCCAGCTTTCGGCTAGGCGGCAAATTCGGAAAGGACGGCCATTTCAGTTGCAGCTCCTGAACTCCTTTTTGCGCCAGGAACGGGGTGTTGTTGATGATGATGGAACGACAACGGCAAGGTGGTGTTTGTCTTGTCCGCCTATACTGCTCCTCTGCATCGCCGGCCGGCCGGCCTCACCATGAACCCCCCGGAGCCCTGGTGTCAGCTCGAGTGTAAGTGGGCTTTCCTGGGACGTTGGTGTGAGGAATGTGGATACAATTTCGCATCGTCGTACTTCTAGACTCGGAGGGACGACAAAACAGCAGCGTATAGCCTCCCAGCCAGCGCAGTGCGAGGAACCCGGGCTTCGAGAATCAAAGCCGTCGCCCGTTGGGCTTGGTTCGGATTTCCCGCTCTAGAGGCTGTCATTCGTCGGCCGGGCGCGTGGGCTAAGCAAGCTCTGGCATCCATCATGATGAATTTGATCCATCCGCCTCAGCGCCGTTGGCTGTTACACATCAGTGCGCCGGGCACTCTCCCGCGAGCCAGTCCAGCCACCATCTTGATTGAGTGACCCAGTGAGAGAGGGGCTAGGCCTGAATTGTCGAGCCAGTCTTGGCCAGGCTTGGATCAAAAACGGGGAAGAAGGCAGAGAAGGGGGAGGGGGGAAACTCGGGAGAAAGACTCCCTGAAGGCTTTCCCGGTCCGCATCGGGCCCTCCCTTGTCCTGAAACCCGCTCTTTCCCACGCTGAGACGCATGGTCCCCTGTAAGTGTCGTCGCAGATTCGCAGAACTCGCAGACCTTCAGCAGCGCTGTGTAACTGTACGGGTGCTTCGTACCCCCCAAGGCCCCCCCCCACCCCCAAAGGTCCCAATAGACCCCTCAAATGCCGGGTCCCGACCGGAGGATACGTCTCGCGCTAACAGATCTCCCGCAGATGTCTCGCCGCGGCCTGGTAACGACATGACATTCCAGCACCGTGACCACCCGTCCCAATTCGGCTCTTCGAAACTGCAGCTTCGACAGCGGACTGGTCGACCTTTCTGCAGCTGTCTCACGTCTACAACACCTCACACACGCAGCAAGAGGAAGCTGCACCTCTGTCCTCAGCATCCATACGAAGCAGTACCACTGTACCAACTTGGGAAGCCGTACCTTACACTAGACCCCCTCGCCTCATACCCTCCCGGCTACGATCTTCACTACGGTCATGCTGCAGAGTGCAGACACTACTGTAGGGGTGTGCCATCCCTGTTCTTCTCTCCCCTTGATGCCCACACCTTTGACCAACTTCTCTCGACTCTCGTTCGCCGACGGCCAGTTTACCCTCCCATTCTCCCCCCCGCCGCTGTTGAGGATGAAGCAGAGACGGCGAGACGTACCGATGAAGCTGGTGCCCCCATCTCAAGTCTCGTCTCTAGACTCTCCTACTGTCCCCTGGAGCGTCCGTGTTCTCCTTCAGGCTTCGACCCCCTGACCCAACTTCTCCTACCGCCGGAGCATCAATGGCCTGCTCTGGCAATGATTGACACCCTAACAAGCTTCGGCGCATCTCGTCTGCTCTCTCTGCCCACTGGATCGACTCGATGGCCGAACAACCA